CCCACAGTTCAAAGCCGCGTTGTTCAAGAGTCAGCTATAGTTTTTTTTTTTTTTTAACTTTCAAACACATGGAAAATATCTTTTTTCTTAATGGAGTTTTAATCTAACTAATTGCATTGTGGTTAGAGAAGGTGGCTTGTATAAGTTCAGTCCCTTGACTGAATACTTTATTAATAAGTTTCAGTGAATTTTGTTTTAGTTTGTCCAAAATATCTTTATTTCGCTCTTGTATTTGAAAGATATTTTTGCTGTGTATAGCGTTTTATGTGTAGACTGCTGTTATTTTTCGTTAGCACATTGGCTTTGTAAGCACATTTCCTTTTTGCTCTTAAGAGGTCAGCAAACTTTCTACATGTAATTCTTTTGCAGGTAACCTATCTTTGTTTTCTGACTGCTTTTTAAGATTCCTCCTTTGGTTCGATTTTCTCAATCTTTGGATTGTGTGTTTTAATCAGTAATCTTTCCAGATAATATAGCTGTTCCCTTCTTGTTTCTTCTGAAACTCCAATTAGATGTGTGTTAGATCCCCTCACACTGTTCTCCATGTCTCTTAACTTATGTGTTTTTCTCATTTTTTTTAAGTCCAAAACGCAAAACAGAGGCATTTTCTTCTGAACAATCTCAGTTCAAGTTATTCTCTTTAACCATGTGAAGCTTCCATTAAAACCCATCCGTTGCATTTAAAAACTTAAATCTGCCAGTTTACCTTTTCCCTTTAAAACACTTTTTGTTTTGAGATATGAAATTATAGGTTCACAGGGTGTTGCCAAAAAAAGTTAAAGGTCCTTTGTATTCTTTACCTACTTTTCGCCTGCATATTTACTCGGATTCATCCTTTAAATATAATAAGCATAGATATTTTTCCTCTATTAATGGATCTTTTCTTCCTTTTTGTTTTTCTGTTGGTTTTTGTTCAAAGTGCCATATTTCCTTAGATATGGCTATTTTAACCTATGAACTCATTTTCCTTGAAAAATTATCTATGCAGATTTTTTTTTTTTTTTTTTGGTCTAGAATTATGATGCTTTCTCAATAAAGGATTAAATTTCCTTTTGTCAGTGCATGGAAGCACTGCCTGGTTGGGACCATTGAATTTCCAGAATGGAGTTGGTTTGGATTACCAGATGATGGGCACTGTGTCTAAAACTCCACATGCGGGGTTCTCTGAGGCTGCTGCTTCTGAGGGTCCTTCCTGCCTCTAGCCCACAGCTTTGCTTTAACTTCCCTGTAGTCCTTTAGGGGTGGTGGAGGGCACAGCCATGCATCAAGGTCCAGGTCTTTTAGGTCTCTGTCTTCTGGCAGCATAGGTATATATTTGTGAAACTCTTATCATAATGAATAATAGCGAACATACTTATCCCCTAAATTTCACCATCAAACTGGAAAGATATTTTTGCTAGACAACAAATTCTATGCTGACAGTTTTCTTTTAATACTCTAAAGGTGTTGCTCCACTATCTTTATTACTCTGTACATGAGGTATCTTTTTCCCTCTAGCCACTTTTAAGATTTTTTTCTTTATTACTGACTTTAAGCAGTTTGGAAACAACATAGTTTAATGTAATTTTTAAAATCTTGTGCTTGGAGGATGTTAAGCTTCCTCGATCTGTAGGTTTATGGTTTTTATCAAATTTGGAAAATTTTACTCCATTATTACAGTTTCTTCCAATTTTTTTTTCTCTTCTGTCTCCGCATTCGGAGATGCCAACTATACACCTATTAGTGTTATTATAGTTGCCTCAGAATTTACTGTTCTATTCTTATTCCCTCCCTTTTTTTTTCTGTTTGATTTTAGATGGGATTAACAGCAGATTATAGCTACAGAAGAAAAGATAAGTGAATTTGAAGACAGCAATAGAAAGTAACAGCCTGTTCTACTAATGAAGTCTTATGTAACTGAAATATCAGCTGATGTCACTGTGTGCCCCCTTTAAAGTTAGCTTTTGTTCTCTATTCTATTTATGCAAGAATCCTAATATCTTCCCTAAGCTTTCTCAAAATTTCCACCCTTTTAGCTTCTCATCATGGTTGCTCAGAGTTCCTACTCTTCTTCAACTCTTCCTGAACTCTTGCTGCTATTAACATCACCCCTGCATATAGAGCCTTAAATGAGGAACCACAGCCTCATTTAAAAATGTTCTCAAAACACTCTTATGAAGTCTTTATGTGCATAGGAGGCTTTGTGTCTTTGTTGCAGGATTGAGGTTTTATATTCTAACAAGGCAAATTATTTAAAAATATTACTAAAAATAGCAATCGTAACTAGCATTAAGCCCCCTACTTTGTTTTTATTAAGCAAAGTACTGTGTTTATTAAGTGCTTTGTGTGTTTTGACCTATTTAATTCTTGGAATAGTCCTGTGAGATAAATATGATTATTTCAGATTTATCTGCCAAACTGAGACACTGAGAGGGTTTTCCAGATTACTCAGCTATTACTGTGAAGACAGTAATACCTACATCATTAAGTTTGTCTAAAGATTAAATGAGAGCGTCCACATAACATGTGTTCAGTGCCTGAAAATATAGTAAGTTCTCAAAACAGGCTAGCTTTCGCTAGCTATAGATTGATAAATGTTTAAATAAAATAAGATGTTTGGGATTTTTTTCAAAGTAATCGAGAATAGAGTGGGTAGGTGTTTCGACAAAATCAACTATAAATGGATACTTTTTGAAAGTGGATGATAGGTTCAGTGGAATTGAGCTTCTACTTTAATGTATGTTATGTAACTTTTTAAATGGAATAACAATTTTAAAAGAAACTGAGTCAGAATTACTACTTTACCAACTTTTTTAAATGTTATTTTTAGATATTCACTTTGGGTACAAACTAAGATGATATATTTCTCTAGAAGTACCAGAGTAAAATCTTATCAGTTGTTATACACACTGACAGTTATTAAGCATGATATTTGGCAAGCAGAGTAGCAGCCCTGTGCAGCTTAGGACTTAATATAATAAGACTCTAAATGTGCATTCAGAAGTCATAGTATGACATTATTAGCTAAGTGATCACAGCCTTTTTAAAAAAAAAATCCTTTTATTATTCATCTCATATTCTTAGAGAACCATATTTTCAAAAACATCTTAGCAAACTGCAATTAAATAATATATTTCTCAATAAGAAAAAAATATAAGCATGCGGATTAATTTTGTTCAAAACCAGATAACCAATGGTATATTTATTATACTGAGTTTCTATAATTCTAGCCAAAAGCACAGAAAGTCTTACTTTTAACCTGTCCTAACTAAATCATGGGCCAATATAATTTTTACTTAGACATTTTGGAATACTGAAAATAGCTCATTATGACAGAAGCCTACATTAAGAATCCCTACTTCATATGCAAGATTAAAATCTAAGAAATTGCTTTCATGTATTTACATATTAACCTCAATTATGCTTGCCCCACTTATTAGTTATTCTTCCCATTTCTGAAGTATTTCAACTATAATTTTGATTAGTTAAAAAAGAAAATGCAGTGTTTGTTCTCTTAGCTAAGAAAATCAGAAGTAGTTTGTAGGCAAAACTACTTCCATGTTGTTTTTTCGGTGACCTTTTTTTTTGAATCTGCCTTAGCTAGACATTCAATTTCTAGGTCATACCATGGACCTTACTTTAACTGAAGCCATCTAAACTCCTAAATAACCAAAGGTGCTGATGTCTTTGACAAAGTTCATTGTTCAAACTTGTTTGTTGAGCTGTACCAACTAGTACTGTACCCTGATAATCTTGTCTGAGCCACTCTTAGAGTTCTAGCTGGTCTGCCCCTTCTCTCTTCAGATAATTTTTTTTTTTGTCTGATCATTGTCCTAGAATGCATGTCTGATTATTACACCTTGGTGAGAATTCTTCAAGAGTTTCCCATTACTGAGAAAAGAAAATCCAACAATTAGCATGGTATACCCGGCCCTTCACAGTCTAGTTCTGGATTTTATTAGTTATTGTCTCATATTTTGACCTTTGCATGGCTTTCTTTGGCTGTATTAAAGTATTTGTAGTTCCCCAAATATGCTTCTACATTTAGCATAGGATAGTACTGTTCTGACTTCTCTGTCAAGCTTTCCTTGGTATTGAGACAGACTTAATTTAATTTAAACACTGTGTTCTCGTTGCAGACTGTATATGCCTCCATTGTAGCTCTGTCAGTGTCATATCATTTCATATTTCTGCCTATTTATTATGAGAATATGAACAATAATGGATTTTTTTACTCTTGTATTCCTAACATATAGAAGAAACTAAAACATTTGACTTAATGAGCAATTTACACAAAGGATATAAAACCAGCAAAGAAAATTATTCTACCTTCCTAGTAACCAAAAAATTAGTCTTTACTATCAAGTCTTAATTTTTTTCACTATTATAATATTAGAAAATCTTAACATATACTATTCATGTTGACAAAGTTACAATAAAACTGGTGTCGATGATATTTTTAATTGATATAACTTGGAAAATTTTGATAGTATGTAGCATCTAAAACTGAAAAATTATTTTAAGCAATGATTGTAAAAAGAAAGAATAAAGTCAGATGCAAAATTGCATGTACTTTATGATTACACTTGCATCTAAAATGCATAATAAAAAGACTATGGAACTATATATTATAGTGGTAACAGTGATTTTATGATGTTGGAAATTAGGGTGGTTTTCTCACCTTTGAAAGTATTTTCTATAATGTCATATTTTATGATTTAAAATGTATACAACTTATGCCAGCGTTTGGATTTTTAAAAAGTAATCCTGAATCAAAATGCTAATGTAAGAGCACTTGAACAATTTTTTGAGTAATTTTTTTTTGTCTTACAATGGTTTCTCAGGGACAGGTCAGATGGGAAGGTGTTGGTAGTTAAAAACTGCTGTTGGTATGTGTGGCCAGCATGGAATGTTGATCATTTAAGTAAGATTTTAAAATTTACTCATGTAGCAGTTCTTCATTTCCAAAATCTTAATCATAGATTTCCTGTTTTAAATGTAGTTTTTGTTTTGGTTTTAAGGTATCAGTTTTTGGAAGAAGCTTTTCAAAACCAGAAAGGTGCAATTGAGAATCTACTGGCTAAGCTACTTGAGAAGAAGAATTATGTTCATTTTGCAGCTACTCAGGTGCAGAATAGGTAAGTATGTTGCCTTAAAACCATAGTTTTATTTTAAGGATTTAAACACATTGGGTCCAGTTTACTTTTGTTTTTTAATATTAAACATATATAGAAAACATTATTTTTTTGGAGGAGTAAATGGTATAAGTTTGAGTTTGGATTATAATATCAGTTAATTAAGTCGTTTAATTGAGCAAAATTTTGAATACATCTTTAACTATTTAATAATTAATAAGAGTTGATTCACATGGCAGTGTCATATTTTTGTATATGTGTGTCGTACATATTTTGTATATGTGGTCCTGAATCTGTAGAGAAGTAGAACGAAAAGTTTATGGTTTATAAGATTGCAAAAGGTTGGGGAGATTGATGATTTCATCTTCAAAAAGCTGTAAAAAAAGCATTAACATCTCCAACGATACTTCCCCTTTTAGACACATTCTTTGATGACCTGTCTCCATTTTTTAATGTGCATTCATTTTTTTCTTTCTTCACAAATGAACATGCTTAAATCCAATGAGAGTCTGACCGTGGCTGTTTTCTGCTTTCAGCAAGCTTAATGATTTCAGTCTTCGGGAAAATCATTTTAAGTTTGAGTCCCATGTTTTTTATCACTGATAACCAGCACTCTCATTTTCTTAAAATGTTTTCCACTCACTTTAATAAGAAAAGGACAGAATTGAATAAAATTTTCAAATAAGTGCCCAAACAAACACTGATACACAAAGGAGGGAAAATTATTATTATGACCGAGTGTATTAAATTTACTCAAATTTGAATTTGGCAAAGGAAAGTCAGTTTAGGGGTTGAAAGTGTGGGTTATAGTTTGTACAGAAGTAAAGTGTATAAAAGTCGAAGCCTTCTTTTTATGGTTGATTAACATTTTACTTATTTATATTGGTGGGATTTCCCCCTTTCTGTTTTGTTAATAGTAGCAAGATACCAGCTGTTTTATTTTTGCAGCCAAAACTTACATAACCACAATGGGAACTTAACTTATTTCTGAAACATCTAACAGCTATTTTAAAAAATGGATTGAAAGTGTTTCATGCCCTCAACTGTATGTAATAGGAAACCATTTTGAGAAGAACGCATGAAAGGGGGGATATATCAGAACCAACATTTGAAGTGGATAAGTTATAAGTGAAAATAAATGCTTCTAAGCTTAATTCCTACTTTTCAAAAGATAATTGTTGATTACAACATTGTTTTTTTGCACTTTGTTCTTGAAAAGCATTAAGATTAAGTAGAACCAGTATGCCAGATTTGGTAGTAACCAGCAATCCCCAATGTCAGATGTTTATATATCACATGTCATAGGAACTAAAGGAGATTGCTATCTAGATTAATAAACTGGCCTTTATGAACTTAATTTAAAATGGCTAAATATTTAATCCATTCTTTTGTCTATATACATACATTGTTTGTACCGAAGAATAGTGGCTCAAAAGGCCAGTATCCATATTCTTTACATAACCAAACTAGTTGTACATTTTGACAAAAATTTACTTACTCAGTTAAGTGTCCAGTTGGATGAATTTCTGTAACAGTTGATTCAGAGATGTAGGTTAAGTTGATAACCTAATGATGCATTTCTCTTATTCAGGATAAAAGAAGTAAATGAGACTAACAAACGAGTAGAACAGGAAATTAAAGTGGCCATTTTCACCCTTATCAATGAAATTAATAAGAAAGGAAAATCTCTCTTACAGCAGCTAGAGGTATGGTTCAAAGCCCAGATCGAACAAAAATTGCTTCTCTTGCTCCTTAGCTATTTTTAATGTTTATTAAAAGCTCTTTTAGATTGGCGGTGTGTGGGGGTATGGAAGTAAACTAAAGAAAAATTTTTTTTCATGTTCTATTAGTAAATACTTTTTTTTTGAGTTAGTTACTTTGCACCGCCATTTAATACCACTGATTTTAGCTGTGCAAATTAGGAGATAGTGTTGTCCTCTTACCAATGAAAGAATCATTACTAGAATGTGATGTAATGAAGACAAAGCTGACCCAAGACCTTGCCCCACCATAGGTCCGCGTTAACTTTTACATATTTGTGAGTGTATATTGGGAGTCTGCTTGAGTCATTTTGTGGTTCATTTTATTTTTAAAATATTCTATAGTTTTGCTAAAAACGCTGCTTATTTTGAAATTTATAAACTTTAAACTTGCTGATATTTTTGTTGTATTAGGTCTTTGTTTTGCATATTTTGAGATAATATGTAACTGTAAATTTCTAGATGAGAATCCAGTCAATTTGTGAAATCCAAATTAAGTTTTAATCAGACTCATCTCTACTGACCACAGTTGATTGGCTCTCAAAATTTTGTGCTCTTAAATTGGCTCAGATGATACAGGGTTGTTGTATTTTCTGTACCATTGAATAGTAACAATTTAAACTATGTGAGTATTTGATTAATTTCATTACTATTAACCTCAAGTTTTCCATAGTAGACTTTTTTCTGTTTCATTTCTTTGTAGAGCACTATAGAAATATTAGACACATAGTTACATACAAATGAAAGAAATTATATCAGTGGAGTGTGAATTCCATCTTTCCATTGAGACTCAATTGTGAGGAAAAGGTACTCTAACACATATTGTTAAAGCTGAAGTCTCTTGCCTGTTGTACATCCAGCTAGTTGCATTTAACCCTAATAGCTTTTTGTTTACAAGAGGACTGTGTGACTAGAGAGAGCACTGAGCAAGCGATGAATTTTGACACTTTTAAACTTACTGTAAATACATTTTAACTATAGGTTTAAAATAATGTTATTAAACCATTTCAGGGACTTTTGAATTAAAAGCTGCCTCTTAATGCTAAAATATACATAATTACCTCATGGTAAATCTGCCACATACTTCTAACATGCTGATAATCTAAACACTAGATGTTTTCCAGTGTAATATGTTCCTAAACTTTGTAAAGTAACATTTTTCTTAAGTTTTATAAGCGGGATGATTTCCAGGGAAGTTGTCAAACTTCTGTCAGCGAAATATTGTTATCCATTGATTTATGTTGTAAAATGAGCAACTTGTTTCCTTAGGGAAAAAACTGTCCAGCAAACCAAGTTGAGTCATTTTTGTAAAAAAAAAGTGGCTAAGAATGAAGTACATAGGTTGTTTGGCTTGCTGAATGTTGACGTACATAGGGTTATCAGCTACCCCTTCTGGGGGTTTTAGTTCCCAGAAAGCAGTTTATTTTTTCCTTTACAGCATTTCCTCCAAGTTAGTCTTTCCTTCAACTCTAACTTACTTGCTTGTTCTTTATGAACTTTTGTCATATTAAAAGGTTCCCTAGCCCCTACTCATAGAGCTCTGGAATTTATCTTTCTCATTTTGGCTTCAGTATTTAAAAGAAGAGATTTCAGCGTCAGCTTCACGTCATACCAGTAGGTGGCACTGGTAACAGAAAGTCGTCTTTGGCTTGAAAGATGTAGAGTTAGGATTATATAAAATTATTTCTAAAGGTCAGCTCATTTTGCCATCGACACCGTATATTGGATTACCCTCAAAGAAAGACTATTTTTAACAGACATTTCACCTTTTGAAGGATAATGTCCTTTTTAGCTTAAGGAACTAAGGTTTAGTCCTGCTTTTGTTAGTGACTTTTCCTTTGATCATAGGCTCTTTAAATAACGAGAAGCTTGTTAACTTATCTCATTTTTAAGAAGTGTAGGTATTGTGTTTATTTGCAGTAGAAATTGAGTTGATTTTTTTCATATAGAATTCTTCAGAGAACCTCTTGTTCTGTTTCAGAATGTTACAAAAGAAAGACAGATGAAGTTAATACAGCAGCAAAACGACATCACAGGCCTTTCCAGGCAGGTGAAGCATGTTATGAACTTTACAAACTGGGCAATTGCGAGTGGCAGTAGCACAGCACTGCTGTACAGCAAACGACTGGTGAGACACACCGCATCTCTGTTTTTCTTTAAATTGACTTTTTAAATTTACATCCAATGAACTGTTTAAAGGTGTAGATTTTGAATTTTAGCAAATGTAATCAACCACCACATCAAGATATAGAAAATCTCTGTCACCCACAAAAGTATCCTTGTTTCCCTCTCCTCCTCACTCTAGGCAACCGTTAATCTGATTCAGTATTTTCTAGAACTTTAAAAAATGGAATCATACAGTATTTACTGTTTTAAAGCTACCTAGTATTATAATGTGGTTTATAATCAGAAATGGCAGAAATTCAAGAATGTGCATTTGATTGCTAATGTAGTCTTTTTTAAATACTGATATTGTCTCATTTGAGACTGACACTGTGGGGCTACATGAGCTTTTATGTCTTTATATTATATGTTTTCTCAAGTGATATTTAATTTTAAGACTAATGTAAATTTCCTCCCTTTAGATTACTTTTCAGTTGCGCCATATTTTGAAAGCACGATGTGACCCTGTCCCTGCTGCTAACGGAGCGATACGTTTCCACTGCGATCCCACCTTCTGGGCAAAGAATGTCGTCAATTTAGGTGAGAAGTGATTCGTTTTATGACTGTAACTTGGAACACTGAATTAGGAGAGGAAAACATCTAAAGCAAATTTTTTATACTTAAAAGTTTTTTTAACTTCACTCTAACATGTAAACTTCTTGGAAAATATAGTCTACATTGGAAACTCAGTTGAATTGTTGTGTTCATTACATCTTTAAGAATGTTGCGAGTCTCCTCTGTATAGTTTTTTAAAATGTGTATCATTTTTAACATTTTCCCCACATTAAAGTTGACATCAACTCTTTCATATTGAAAACTCAGCAAACAGGTCTTTATTCTCTGGGAGAATTTTTAAGGTCCTTAGTAGTTTGTATATTAATTGTACCAAATTGTCCTTTAGAGCAGTGGTCTTTAGCCTTTTTAGCACCAGGGACTGGTGCTCCTATGGGAATCTAATGCCTGATGATCTGAGATGGAGCTGAGGTGGTGATGCCGGCACTGGGGAGTGGCTGCAAATACAGATGAAGCTTCATTTGCTGACCTCCTGCTGTGCGGCCTGGTTCTTAATAGGCCACAGACTGGTACCAGTCCATGGCCTGGGGTTTGAGGACCCCTGCTCTAGAGGAGGGCCTCCAGGATGCTGATGTGTCCTAAAGTCATGTCTTGAGCGGTGTTTGAAAAATAAGAGTAGCTCTTTTCACATGGAAGAGAAGTGGACTTTGCTTCTGTTACTGCACAGTGTGGACTTGAAGACCATAGGTGAAAGTTGAAGAGACAGACGAATAGCTTAATTTAAAACAAAACCCAAAAAACTTTCTCAATAGCTAGACTTGTGTATAGATTGAGTTAATTCACTCCTAAAGAAGTCAAGTCCTCATCTTTGGAAGCTATAAAGGCAGAGCTAGATAGCCTTCTATAAAAAATAATCTTTGTATATATTCAGATGTGGCTATAGTCTTAGATCAGGTATCAGCAAACTTTTTGCGTGGCAGGGTAGCTAAGTTTTGGTTTTTACATTTTAAAGGGTTATAAAAACAAAAAACAGATTATATGACAGATCTTATGTGGTTTGAAGATCCTAAAATATCTGGCCCATTATAGGAAAGGTTTGCCAACTCTACCTTAGACCTTCCTAAAATTCGCCTTCTATTTAGATTAGAACAAATGGGCTCTGTGAGAAGTAAGGAAAATTGTCATTTCTAAGGACATAAGTTGTTTATAACATTCACCATTTCCACAGAAGACAGTTTTGTAGCAGTGTAGTACTCTGTCCTGCATATTTAATGAATCAAAGGCATATGAAATGAGCATAGTAATCTTGAGTATCCTTCAGTCTTGTTAAAAGAGAATTGATTTAGACTGACTCGAGGGCCCTGTAGTAACATCTCTTTCAGCTCTTTATTTTTCTGTATATCTATGTAAATAAAGAATAAGGGCAAATAATATATTATTCTGAATAATTAGTTATTTGGCTTTGAACTATATTAGGTTTCTAATCTTCATTTTTAAACCTAGCTCTCATCCTTGCTGTACTGTTGGAAATTTTGACTGCTGAGAGTTGTCAGAGAAAAGAAGAAAAGATAGGGATTAATCTACAAAGTAGATGATTTAGTCAATTATTTGCCAATTACTCTCATTTTCTAATTCTTCAGGTAATCTAGTGATAGAGAGTAAACCAGCTCCTGGTTATACGCCTAATGTCGTAGTTGGGCAAGTTCCTCCAGGGACAAACCACATTAGTAAAACTCCTGGACAGATTAACTTAGCACAGCTTCGACTCCAGCACATGCAGCAGCAAGTGTATGCACAGAAGCATCAGCAGTTGCAACAGATGAGAATGCAGCAACCACCTGCTCCTGTACCAACAACAACGACAACAACACAGCAGCACCCACGACAAGCAGCCCCTCAGATGTTACAACAGCAGGTAAATATTATATCACTACATATTGATATAAATTGTGACGACTTTAAGACCACATTCTGTCCTACATAGGTGAGTTACACATTTTAAAGTTCCCACCAGGGACAGAACTCAAAGGTCAGAGTTTAAATATTTGCTCTGAGTAATGCAGGGATGTTGGGAAAGTGTGAGGAAAGCCAGTGAGTAAATATGTATCATAGGATACAAAATTAACTCACTAGTGCTATGAAGGTACACAAGTTTTTATCCCTGCATACCAGTTTTTTTGTTTGTTTGTTTTCCACATGTTCGTTTTGGGCCAAAGAACCAGATTGTTTTTGCCTAATATCTGTTAGGCTTTGTTCAGATTATTTCTATTCTGCTCTCCCAACTCTTATCCAAATAAGAACTATTAATCCAGGGTTGGATAATGCTTTAAACACATCCATATACTCAGAGGAGGGGATTGGGGCTAGAGATGAAGAGAATGACGTTTACTGTTTACTTTATGCCCTTCCAAATCCTAAAACATTTTATAATGGAAAGATAAGTTTATAAAAAATATTATTATATAAATGCAATTTCTACCTTTTGTAGCCTCCAAGATTGATCAGTGTGCAAACAATGCAAAGAGGCAACATGAACTGTGGAGCTTTCCAAGCCCATCAGATGAGATTGGCCCAGAATGCTGCCCGGATACCAGGGATACCCAGGCACAGTGGCCCCCAGTATTCCATGATGCAGCCGCACCTCCAAAGACAAGTATGCCTAGAGTTACGTTTGTAAGAGTCATACAATTTTAAAACTAAAAGATGCCATTTTTCTTAATCAGTTGTTGTTTGGGGGGATCATTGATACTTTGAGAATTTGGTTAACGCTGTATATCTTCCTGTCCTAGAAAAATACACATAAAGTTTTGTATTTAATTTAAAGCGCTTCTTTGATGCCGTTAAATCCATTGTGAATTGAGAACCTCTGATCTGGTCCAACCAACTCATTTTACAGAGGAACTTGTTATTATTTACCGACAATCACAGAGATAATGATAAAATCAAGATTAGAAACTTAGTTTTCTGAAATTGTTCCTCTGTTCTTTGAACGTGACATTTTGAATCTAATACATAGAAAAGGACTTTGAAAACAATGAAACTGTGCTTTTTTCCTTCACTTAGTATTGTTCTTTTTAGGATATAGATATGCCTATTTCTAAAAATAAGTGTATTTAGAGACATGTTTCCTAATCTTTGCCTGAACAGTAGTAGATTTTCTTTGTATGGGAGGCATGATTTTAAAAATAGGCTAATTTTACATAGGATTTCTAGTTATAAAATAATACAGTTCTGGGAAGACTTTTGAAGAATATGCACTCCCCCTCACATATTGACATTATAAAGTAAAACACATTTTATTCTAGTAAATGAGTCCCAAATACGATAGCAAGTTCTTTCGAAAATTAAAATTTTATACTCCCTTTCCTCAAGGGACTTGAATCTCTCTTCTGTTTCCTCTGTAGAATTTTGTAATACGTATATTTATGTTTGATAAAATTATGACTCTATTGCAATGTTTCTGCAGGAAGAATGTCTAATTTAGAAATTCTTAAATTTCCAATGACAATAAGGCTATTATTATAAGCTTTACAACTTTTTCTTTGGACCAGATTTTCATTACAGTTATTTCTGTATAATTGTTTAAACAACATATATTTACACGATTTAAGAATATTAGGAAACAGAAAAGTAAAATTCTTTTAGATCTACATTTCTTTGAGGTAAATGGAGCCTTTCCTCCTTCCTATTTAGTTATATATGTTTGTCTGTTACTTATTTTAGAGTAAGTCAGAATTCAACATCTGTTTTTATTACTAGCTTGTTTTTTGGTTTTTGTTTTCATATGATAATTGAGAATCTCGTTCACAAAAGTATGTATCTGGGAATTCAAAGAATTTTCCTCGGTTCTTTGAACTTTTTCTGGATTATCAAAGCTGAATCTCGTGGTGAACTATCAAAACTATGTTAAACATTTTCTTATTAGATGATAGCTTCTTCAGGTCTTGCTAAATTTTTTGTTGATCATCAAGTCTCAGAACCCACTCAGCGATTTGTTACCCAGGTTTTGGAGCCTGGCACCCTCTCAGCAACTTGACAGCTTTACTTCCAATTGTACTTTTGCTTATCTCTCTTAGAACTTTTTCACCGTGGGGCAGTGTGCTAGATAAGATTAGGAATGGGTCAGAGGGTTGCTGTTTTTTGGTGAGAAGGGCAATTGTGAAAGAAGTTGTAGGAAAAAACCTGCCTACAACAGCACATTCTTAGGTAAATTGGATTTTCTTTAGGAGAAAAGTACACATGAAGGTTAAGGATTTCGGAATTTATTTCCTTAGAAAATGTTCACATACCTTTCCCTCAGTAAAGGGAAAGCCTTCAAGTATTACTAGGGCCAGGTACCCCTTTTGGAAGAGTGTAGAAGCTAAAGAAGCAGACTAACTGACCATCTAAAATCATTTCCCTTTTACTTTCAGGGACCCTACAGAAATCCCTGTTAGAATTTTAAATTTTTAAATATTTGAAATTATTTATATGTGTATAGTAATTTGTTTCCCAAAGCTTTTCATCTATACTGTCTTAGATGACCCTTATCACAGCTCTCACAATGAGACAGGTATCCATTCTTATTCATTATTATCCACGTTTCTAAATTACTGAAATTATGTGATTTTCCTAAAATCACACCACATTAGAATCAGGAATTGATGTCATATTTTTGTTTGTAGAGTTGTCGTTCTTTCTACTGTATCAATACACAATATACAGTTACACAGTTAATTACTTTTATTTTTAAAAAGATGAGTCAAAGAGGAATATAGACTGAACAGCGGTGTTCCTGGTATGGTGTTTGAAAACTCGGGGGCTTCCAGATCAAATCACATTCATCTTTACCCTGAAATAAGATCAAATCACCAGGCTGACAGGTTGAAAATTATTGCCAAGTCTCTTTTTTCCTATATACTACACAAAAATGAATAGAAAAATGAAAAGGTTAATTTGAATTATTCTTTTTCCATATAAGTTTGAGAGAGCTTACTTTGTCGTTTCTCAGCCATAGGTTTCAGACACTCGACTTGTGCATCTTTACAAAATTAAAAATTGTTGTCAAGGTTTATTCACATTAGCATATCCCGGTAGGTGAAGTAATGATAACATCTTCTTTCCTCGCAGCACTCAAACCCGGGGCACGCTGGACCCTTCCCTGTCGTGTCGGTGCACAACACCACCATCAATCCCACCAGCCCTACCACAGCTTCTATGGCAAGTGCAAATCGAGGTCCCACCAGCCCTTCTGTTACAGCAATAGAGCTGATCCCCTCAGTTACCAATCCAGAAAACCTTCCGTCACTGCCAGATATTCCACCCATACAGGTTTGTATTTAAGTTGAACGAGAGATTTAAAACCTTGTGTTAATTAGGGAATTAGAGTGTATGTTTCTGGTGGTTGTTTCTAAATTTAGATGAAACTTTTTTGAAATTTCCGAAGAGAATATTATTTGAATTTTTTAAAGTTACACATAGCACTTGTTAATATTGTAAAGTTGTAAGATGTCAGCTTTGCTTATCTTTCTACCAAACCTTGTGTTAGGTGAGGCACTCCTGGTGTGAGTTTGGATCCAGAAAGGAGACCCAAGACCTAAATATGGTCAGATCTTTGTCAGTTCCTGTTATGCCCAAAGGGAATAGTCAACCCCTTGTGCAAACAGGTTGAACTGAGAAAGGAAGAAGGTGGAGCTTCTAGATACCAGGCGTGGTGGGTACACTGAGAGAGGAAGCCGTGGGCAGGAGTCAGAGTGGAACCTGAAGGGTCTCTAAGGTGTCCTGCACCTTTCACCTGTGACTTTTTACTGAAGAAAATTATTTTTTAGTGCCTTCTGAGATTTCATCACTTCATTTGAATCAAAAGCACTTTATTTTTAAATGTAAATCTAACCTTTGAAGGTTATACTGGGTCACATCCTCATGAGTTACCATGGGAGCAAAGAGAAGTGAAACTACTAAGACACTAGGACCTTCGACACTTTCTGTGACTGCTGTTTTATAGTTTATTGTGTTTAATGGATTTCTAAGAGTTAGTCTTAAAGGACATTTCTATAACTCCAAAATTGTTTCAAAATCGCAAACTCATTGTAAATTCTCTTAATCTGATTGCTTTCCTTATATTAAGAGAGATCTATTTTGGCTAAGCAAATGGTAGTTACGTTGGTGCTGAGAGTACTGGACTATGTAGAATAGAAACTTTTGGTATATATTTATAAAAATATAAAATTCCTAAGTTGTAAGCTTATAATGTATAAAGGATGTTCACAGGCAATATATAAATTTAATGCTTGATTCATCTCATATGATGTATAATATCCCTGTTTTATGGATGAAATTAAGAGGTTAGTCACTTTCTCGGAGTCACCCAGTAAATGGAAAAGTTGGAATTCAAAGCCAGACTCCTGATTACAAGATCAGTTCTCTCCCCATGATTTGTAGATGTGGCAGGGAAATAGTTTGGGATTGTAGGCCTGGAAAGGTATAGTAGTGAGAGTCTGGGCAACCCGAGAGAGGTCTGTACAGTGTTAGAGGAGCCACCCAAGTTTTACTGCGTACTTACTGTATACAAAAGTCCTTCGGCATTAAGCAGAAAAAGATAAACAAGACTTGGTTCCAGTTCTTGAGAAACTTTCAAAGGGAGAAGGAAGGTCGCTAATGTCAAATTTCTAATTTGCTAGGATCACTCTGACCTTGGTTCAGTTCTTTCTCATACAGACCAGATGGTAGAAATGTCAATACGCCACATTTTTGAAAAGTCGGGCATCAAGGGAAGGGGGGCTCTTATCAGACATTCCTTGTCCTCTTGCCCAGAATAGTTTTGAGATCAAGACAAGAAGCTCTGGAATATATCCCTTCCATGTTTAATTTTTTTATGTGGGCTAGAGGAACAGAATCCAGCCTGTCTCCTATGAACCTTCTCTTCCTTGCAGACCTTATTTTTATTTACTGATTTACTAGTGTCATCTGCTTTTAACAATTGAGGTAAAATTTACATACCATAAAATTCAACTTTTAAAAATACACAATTCAGTGGATTTTAGTATATTCACAAGATTGTGCAACCATCACCACTATCCAGTTCCAGAACATTTTCATCACTCCAACAAAAACTATCCATTAGAAGTCACTCTCCCTTTCTCTCTCTTTCTACCACTGGAAACCACTAATTCACTTCTGTTTCTGTGGATTTGCCTATTCTGGACATTTTATATGACTGGCATTATATAATATGTGGCCTTCTGAGCCTGGCTTCTTTCACTTAGCATAATGTTTCTTAGGTCCAGGAATGTCATAGCCTATATCAGTACTTAATTCCTTTTTATGGCTAAATATTCCGTTGTATGGTTATACCACATCTGTTCATCAGTTGATGGACATTTGGGGTTCTACTTTTCGGCTACTAGGAACATGTGTGTGCAAGTTTTTATGTGGACATAAGTTACCACTTATCTGGTGGTAAATTTCTAGGAGTGGAATTTTAGAGTCATATTGTGAGTATGTTTAGGTTTTTGAGGAATCGCCCAACTATTTTCCGCAGTGGCTGCACCATTTTATATTTTCACCAGCAGCATATGAGGATTTCAGTTTCTCCACGTTCTTGCCAGCACTCGTTATTGTCACTTTTAAAAGGGATTAGAGGTGGTTACCACAGAAAGCGCAACCATAGTAAGAAGTAACTATCTGAACCAAAAATAAAAAGGGAAGCAAACCTATCGTCTTTTAAAGAATCACTTACTTTTTCTCCTATCCTGTAGTTTCCATGGTATAGTAAAAAGAAACCTGTGGGAGGCTACACAGGAAGCAGACAAGGTAGCATTAACTGTGTAACGCAAACAGGAAATAAATACAAAGGCAGTTTTGGATATTTGTTGCTATATCTTAATACTGATCATTACCGCCATCCACTATGAAGTAGGATGTAATTTAAATAGAATTCTCTTAACCTGAGTTATTTTTTCTTTCTCTCTGCTGCCCATCTCCAGCACAGTGATAATGCATGTTTGTAATTCAGACTTTGAGGACATACATAATGAACCTGAATACTTTTTGAATAGATAAACGAACATGAGATTCTGTTCAGATTAGATTATGGTTAATAGATATAGTATTCTAATGATTTATTAATTTTTTGTAAACAGTTTGTATTTGGCATATTAGTAACTTAGTTTGGATACTATACTGTATATTATGAAGTCTTGGGAAGACTGTGTGTTTCTAATATTCATGTACAAATTTAAATATTAAAGGATACCCATTTCTGTACTATGTTCCCAAAGCTGGCTAAATTAATCAGTCTTCTTACATCTTTGCCAATGTGATTGATAGGTAAAAATGATGTTGATTTCATTTAACATTTATTTGTGTGGTTGATTATTTTAAGTTCGTTGATTATTTGTATTCTGTGGATTGTCTTTTTCCTTTTAATTCATAGAAATTATATCACACATATTCCATGTAGCTTTAATTTTATTATTACTACTACTACTACTACTACTATTATTATTATTCAGGATGCTTAGAAAACATTGGTTTAGTGAATAAAAGAATGCTGTATTTATGGTGGCTCTTCATCCATGTTTAGTGAAACCTGGAGGCCGGTGTTTCAGCTAGCATTTCTTTGTTGGAGATGTAATAGTGTCGTGGAAGCCCTTTTATGTACTTTTGGTTTGCCTCTTTCTAATCTGCCTACTTTTCTAACCTAGACAGTTTTATGTCTCTCTGGCCAGAGACGTAAATTGCAGGTTGGAGAGTATAAAAGAGTGGGAGTAGAGGTAGGTAATATGGGACTTTCATGTTTGGTTGATTCATTTTCTCCTCTTTTATGTTTAGGTGAGCTGTAGCCCACCTTCCATCTGTGGCCCAGATTAGGAGCTGCCCCTCTTCACAAGTCCTCCAGTTGACTTTAGTTGCAGTGAGGGATCCTCCGGTAATTACAGCTTACAAGCAAATCCTTGGCCAATAGCTGTGACCCCTGGGCAGGCACAACTACTAATATGCCTTAATTGTCCCTCTAGGTAGCCCACAGTCTACTTTCACTTTCAGTCCTTTGTGTCTCAGAGACCTTTAATGAAAAAGACTTCATTAATGAGAAAGGCCTATCTACTTTTTAAAAAAATTAAACTATAATTGATATATATGGTGTTATATTAGTTTTAGGTATACAACAAAATGATTTGATATTTTTATACACGTTGAAATGATCACCACAGTAAGTCTAGTTAACATCTGTCACCATACGTAGTTACAAAATTTGGTTTCTTGTGATGAGGACTTTTAAGGTTTACTTCTTAAACTTTCAAATATGCAATAGAATATTAACTGTAGTCACCATGCTGTCCATTACCTCCCCATGATATATTTATTTTATAACCAGAAGTTTGTACCTTTTTATCCCCTTTACCCATTTCACACACACTCCATTCATCACTTCTCGCAACAACAAACTTTTCTATATCTGTGAGCTTGTTTTTGTTTTATTTTTAGATTCCATGTATAAGTGAGATCATATGGTATTTGTCTTTCTCTGAGTTATTTCATTTGGCATAATACTTTCTAGGTCCATCCATGTTGTAAATGGCAAAAATTTCATTCTTTTTTTATTCCTGAATAATATTCCATTGTGTATATATATCACATCTTCTTTATTCATCTAGTGATGGAAGTCTAGGTTGCTTCCATATCTTGCCTATTACTAGTAACCTGCAGTGAACATAGGGGTACAAGTATCCTTTCAAATTAGTGTTTTTGTTTTCTTTGGGTAAATACCCAGAAGTGGAATTGCTGGATCATTTGGTAGCCCTGTTTTTAATTTTTTTGAGGAATCTTCATAGTGTTTTCCATAAAGGCTGCACTAATTTACAGTTCCACCAGCAGTGCACGAGGGTGCCCTTTTCTCCACATCCTTGTGAGCACTTGTTATTTGTTGATTTATTGATGATTTTAATTTGCATTTCCCTGATGATTAGCGATGTTGAGCATCTTTTTTTAATATCTGTTAGCCATCTATCTGTATGTGCTTTTTAGAGAAATGTCTGTTTAGGTCCTCTGCCCAGTTTTCAATTGGATTGTTTGTTTTTTTGATGTTAGGTTGTATGAGTTCCTTATATATTTTGGGTATTAACTCTTTATCGGATATATCATTTACAAATATCTTCTCTCATTCAGTAGGTTGCCTTCTCATTTTGTTGATGGTTACCTTCATTGTGCAAAACCTTTTTAGTTTAGTGTAGTCCCATTTATTTTTTCATTTGTTGCCCTTGTCCAAGGAGACATATCCATAAAGATGTTATTAAGAGCAATATCAGATTTATTGCCTGTGTGTTCTTCTAGGAGTTTTATGGTTTCAGGTCTTAAACATTTAAGTCTTTAATCCATTTTGAGTTCATTTTTATATATGGTGTAAGAGTGGTCCAATTTCATTTTTTTGCATGTATCTGTCCAGTTTTCCTAACACCACTTGAAGAGACTGTGTATCTCATTGTTTACCCTTGCCCCTTTTTGTCAGAGATTAATTGACCTTATAAATGAGGATTTTTTTCCTGGACTCTCTCATCTTTTCCATACTGTTTTGATTATTGTAGCTTTGTCGCATAGTTTAATATCAGGGAGAATGATACCTCCCACCTTGTTTTTTCTCAGAATTTCTTCAGTTATTTGGGGGTCTTTTGTGGTTCCATGTAATTTTATGATTAGTTCTAATCTTGATTGATTTTGTATCCTGCAACTTTGCTGAATTCTTTTATTAGTTCTAAGAGTTTTTTGGTGGAGTCTTTAGGATTTTCTACATATAATATCATGTCATTTGCAAATAGTGACAGATTTACTTCTTCCTCTCCAAGTTGGATGCCTGTTATTTCTTTTTCTTGCCTAATTGCTCTGGCTAGGACTTTCAATACTATGTTGTCTAAAAGTGGCAGGAGTTGGCATCCTTTTTCCTGATATTAGAGGTAAAGCTTTCAGCTTTTTATCATTAAATATGATGTTAGCTATGGACTTATTATATATGGCCTTTACTATATTGAGGTATGTTCCATCTATACCCACTTTGTTGATAGTTTGTATTATAAATCGATATCAAGCCTATTTACTTTTTAGAAGAGTCTTTCCATGTCTGTTTTATGTTGTGAGCTGCTTTATTCTGGTAATTTTTCTATCAATCCAGTTCTACCTTGGTTTATATATATATATAATTTCTTCCAAAGTTTCTGCTTTGATGCCATCTTTTCCTATCTTATAGTCATGAAAATCATGATTTTTTTTTTGAAAGGAAAGGAGGGCAAGTAATAAATATATGTGTTCAGTTTTCTGTGTTGAATGAGAAGTAAATTTACATGAAAAAATAATCTTCAAGTGTGAGTATAAACAGATCAGTAAGCATGTAGATTAGTAGTTATTTAAGAATAATTTGACCATCTCTTATATGGAATAGTGTAAACTTTTACTTAAGGTAATTTTTCATAATTAAATAGTATCTGTTTACTGTTTCTTACATAAATATTTCCTCATTTCATCGTCACAGTTCTCAGTGTGGGTGGATGTTTTAAAGGTAGGAAACTGATCTTCAATTGGGAACCAGCCCAAAGTACCAGATTCTCTGGCTTTAGCCTACTGTCTGTAAATGAGAAAAGGGTTCAGTCTCCTGTTGACGAAGGGGCCTTGTATCTCAGGCTAAGGGCTTTCTGCTGAGTATATAGACTATTCACAGCTTTAAGGCTAGGTATTGACATGATTAAATTCTGTTTGGGTGGATGATTCTGGCAGAAGTATGGATGCTGAAATAAAGAGAGGAAGATGGGACAAGGATGCTGAAAAAACTGGGTCCTGCATCAACTTTGAGAAAAGACAAATGCATCAGTGTGTCATAGCTATTTTCATATTAGAACATAAAGGATTTAGTGGATTATTGTGTTTTGTTTTGATCTGCTGGGTATTTATTGAATAATACTAATTACAGCTTTATTCATATAAATTTTATATTGTGTGGGTCCTCAGAGGAGCCTAAGGAAGCAACGGTTAAGCTGAGTTTGATATAGGATAATCTGTTAATTAGTAAGCTATGAGCATAAGCAATTATACTAATGAAATTAACTTCTTTGCTTTAATCAAAGCAAATTTATTTTATTTTTTCTCTTTAGTTGGAAGATGCTGGTTCAAGTAGTTTAGATAATCTACTAAGTAGATACATCTCAGGCAGTCACCTTCCCCCACAGCCTACAAGTACCATGAATCCCTCTCCAGGACCCTCTGCCCTATCTCCAGGATCATCAGGTAAAACCAGCTTACAAAAATATCTCTCAGTGAATGTGTTAGTCAGGGTTCTCCAGAAAACTAGAACCAATAGGAGGGGTGGTGTGTTTGTGTGTGTGTACGTACGTATGTGCGTGCGTACGTACGTGTGTGAATGCATATGTACTTGAATGCATGCGTAGGGGATTAGGAATTAATTCTTGTGATGGTTAGGGCTGGCAAGTCCAAAACTGCAGGGCAGGTCACCTGGAGACCCAGGGAAAAATTGATGTTAGTATTGAGTCTGAAAGTAAAATTCCTTCCTCCTCTGGTTTCCCTTAAGCTCTTCAACTAATTGGATGAGGCCCACCCCCATTATGGAGATTGAGCTCTTTTACTCAAAATCTACTGGGTACTATCTTCTAGCCACATAAAATTAACAATCTTGGTACCATATTTTTTTTTTCTGATTGCTCTTTCCAATTATTTTTCTTGAAATGCTGTTTGCAGGCCTCAGTTAACTGAAATGATATTAATATATATGTAGTGTACACTGTTCAGAACTCCAGTGTACCTCTCTCCCAATCCCAGCTGTGTTTATGTTCCTTGCTGGATTTATAGTATCATTTGCTTCCATGTCTTTTATGATATAGATGGTCAGTTGAAGAATTCTTTGGTTTCAACCCAAGTTTAAAACACTTTGTAAAAATAAAATGGAAAAATTGTTTTAAAAAAATCAAGGAAAGGCAAGTGAACTTTCAAATTGTCATTTTAAAACAAAAACTCAAATTCATTGGAATCTATTAAAGTGTGACTAATCAAGTCCAAGAGATATAGATCTCTTCCAAAATCCTAGTTGTTTTGTTAGCCCTCTTACCATGAGTGATTGATTAAAGCAATTCCTAGCAGGTTGATGGTGCAGAAGTGGTTATAGAATATATTTTTCTAGTGAAAATAAATGCTATTTCTTTTTTACTGAAATAGACTACCTCATTATTTCTAGAGGAAGAATGGTTCAAATGTAAATGCAGGTTTTGCACGAGATGCATCATTAATACATTTTTTTGAGCCATACATTTTTTGAGGTTTAATAGGATTATTGCAGGACTTCTAGAAGAAAGAAGAAATAATAGGAATCATAGGAGTCTACATAGGGTATTTTACCAGATGACTTGGGGCGGGATGGCAAATAGCTTTCTCTGATTTGTTAGTTTTTGTTGATTGGGTTGCGTTCTGAGGAGGGTTCTGAGAAAGGGGCTCAGCTGAGAGAAACTGATTGATGTCTGCCACGATTATACATGCCATTCCTGACTTCAAGAGTAAAACTAGGTCTGACTTCCAAGAATTACTAAATTATATTGTAATCATCTTGAATTCTGTAACTAGTAGGTAGAATTCTTAATATTCTTATCTGTATTGATATTCATTTTGACTTATTATTTGCAGGTTTATCTAATTCTCACACACCTGTGAGACCCCCTAGTACCTCTAGTACTGGTAGTCGAGGCAGGTAAGTATTATGTTATTAATAGTTATATTTTCTCCTTTTTATTAAGAAAATTTTCAAAAAAAATTTAAAAACTAGAATATCATGGTGAACTCTTATGTACTTACCACCCAGCTTCAACAGTCACCAAATTATGGCCAGTCTTAATTCTTCTGTATTCCTACCCATTTTCTCTTGGTCTGTCTGGATTATTTTGAAACGAATCTCAGACATCTAATTTCATTTATGACTGTTTCAGTCTATTTCACTTAAAAGACAAGGATTTAAAAATTTTATAACCATAGAACTATTACTACACCTAAAAAAATTTAATAGCTAATTCTTTAATATCAGTAGAGATTCAATTAATGTTCATATTTCTCAATTTTTCCTATAAATGCCTTTAAAAAATAGTTTCTTTGAGTATGGTTCAAATAAGCTCTCTACATTGTTATCAGTAGATGTGTTAAGGTCAAAATCAGTGTATTGGTTTAAGAAATGTATTTTCTCATACAGAGTTTTCCCCATTTTGTCATTTGAATATACTGCCTGCTGTTTTTTCTCTTATTGGTATTTAGATCAGGAGGTTTGATGAGATTCATGTTTGATGTGGGGGAGAATACTTCATTGGTGGTGGCATGTACTTTCGTCAGGGGCACGTAATGTCTGGTTGATTTTTGTTTGTTTTGTGATAACCATTAGTGATCATTGCCTAACTCTAAGTTTTTTTTTTTTACTGCTTGAAAAATGATACATTATAATTATTGTATTATTCCGTGTTTATTATTTTAGAATACTTCTGTAAAGAGAAAATTTCTGTTATATTTGGTTATAAGAAAGGCAGAATGAATTGATTTTTTTCTCTTTATTTACCTATTTTCATAATAATGAGTTGATTTCCCAGCACCCTCCAACAGTGACCGATGAGTTTTAATTTTCTCTAACTTTATGAACTCATATATTTAAACATACTTTATATGATGTTTAAATATATTTTTTATTGGTGCTTAAAGTGTTTCATTTTATCCTGTCAGAGCTTTTTAAGGTTGGGTCCTTAGTTCTGTGGCTGTAACCCTGGTAGTCTCTGAAAGCTTCCTTGTTTCCTGTTACGAAATGTTGTTCCAGGTTCGTCTTGTACATTTCCTGCCTCAGATCTGGAATCGGCCATTTCTCTGAGAAATCTGGTCGCATTAGTGAGGAAGTGGGGTTTGGTGGGGGAGAGAGAGTATGTGTTGTGTTAATATGAAATGTAGTAAATGATGACTGAGTTTTACTCTTATTTTATATAATTTAGTACAATGCAAGAAAGATTTTATTTAAGATATATGTGTGTTTTTTGTTTGTATGTGTGCATATGCATTTTCAAACATTTGCTTGACTTTAAAATTATACTTAAGTAAATAATCAGTACTTTAGAAGAAAAGTACAAATTAAATGAAAAAAGTCTTCATTCTTAGTAGTAATATAGTCTTACCAGTTATTCACTTTTCTTGCCAGTAGTTTAACTTCGTGGTCTAGAGAGAACGGATCAGTAACGTGCCTGTCCTCTTAGCCTATGATTACGTTGATTCAAATGAGGGCGTTCTAGGTTGTCTGCTGTTCCTTATCCCCTTTTCCCCATCCCCGCCCTAAAAGCTAACGTAGCAATTCCTTTGAGGAGGCTCATGAACCACTGTTGATGCTATTTTCTTCAGACGTTTGAGAGTAGAGTAGAACTGAAACTACTTTCATGGAGAGAAGCAGACATCAACATTCTATATTACTAGCCTGGAAAAATGTTTGCTAGACCCCATAAATGATTTAGTATAATGCCTCATCATAAAATGTTTTTAAGGCCTTCTGAAATTTGGATTATATTTTTAAGAATTGGAAGTGAAGTTTATACTCCACTTCTTTTAACACCATTGTGAAGTGTCCTTATTATCTATGAAGTTAATAAAGAGTTCTTTTCACGTTTTTCATATAATTGTTTTTATGTATACCATATGTGATCTTCGTTGTTTTTTATTAGCTGCGGGTCGTCAGGAAGAACTGCTGAGAAAGCAAGTCTTAGTTTCAAGTCTGATCAAGTGAAGGTCAAGCAAGAACCCGGGACCGAAGACGAGATATGCAGCTTTTCCGGGGCTGTGAAGCAGGAAAAGACAGAGGATGGCAGGAGGAGCGCCTGCATGGTGAGATCCGCTGGGCTCTGTCAGGGACTTCACTAAGAAGGCCACCTCACCGATTCTTCCATTCTCAGTATATTAGACTAAATAGCGGTTCTGTGAACATTTATTTGTTTTTGAATTTTTATGCCTGGTACAAGCCAAATACCTCTTTTTCTGACTCAACTTTTTTAACCAAGTGTCAGCGATAATTAATCAGAAAAAGACTTAATCATTAAGTGTTAAGGATTCATTTCAAATTATCTTTTAGTTTGTAATTGGTCGATATTTTTGCCACGATTCTAAGTCAGGTTCTATCTTGTTCTGATTTATTAATCATCTCAAAAGTCACATTGAGTCTTGGGCCACAAAATATCCTTGGCTGTTTTCATGGTCCTTTAAGTTCAAGATTAAGACCGCTGACATGAAAGAAGTTTAATGATCAAAGGGTTTTACGATTGGAAGAGTGCCTTTGCCTTATGAATTATTAACCATTTTAGAGTGCCCAGATGGAACATTTTATAGAATTTATAATATAGAATGAAAGAAAGCCCACGTTTCTCTTTGTTTAGGAATTTCGATCTTGTTTTCTTTCTGCCCAGGCTTATGTTTCATTTTTTATATGGTTGACACATACAGATTTCAGCTCAGGGTATTACACATTCAGTGCAGTATATGTAGATTTAGAGAGCACATTTAGCCTTGGGCATGGAGCAGTGTCACCTCTTCCTCCAGAACTGGTTTGGAAAGTACCCCCAGAGGCGAAAGATATATTTTAACATTGTCACAGTCTTCCTACATTCGCAGAATGATAACATGGACAGAGAATATTTCAGAATGCTTCTCAAAAGCTATGCAACAGATTCTTGAGTGAAAGATGACATACCATAGTCAGTTCTCTGTAGGAAAAGTATAACCCTATGCTCACTTTCCAATCAGTGCTTCACAGTTGAATTAAGTTCCTTACTATCTGAATGAACCAATATTGGAGAGACTGCTCCCTAAAATCATAAATTAACATGCCTAAATAATTTTGGGGTTAATTTCATTCCTTCATGTCACTGATGTGATTCCCAAAGTAATTTTAAGTTAGGTCAGTATATATATGTAAACATGTTGACATAAGTTTTGAATGTAATACCCCCACTCCCCCCGCACACACACACTGTGAACAGTGATCTAGGTGATTTTTCAAGAGTTTGTCCTTGTTTTGTTTTAGTTGAGCAGTCCTGAGAGTAGCTTGACACCACCTCTCTCAACCAACCTGCATCTAGAGAGTGAGCTGGATGCATTAGCAAGCCTGGAAAACCATGTGAAAACAGAACCTACAGATTCGAATGAAAGCTGCAAACAGTCAGGGCTCAGCAGCCTTGTTAACGGCAAGTCCCCAATTCGAAGCCTCATGCACAGGTCAGCAAGAATTGGAGGAGATGGCAGCAGCAAAGATGATGACCCAAATGAAGACTGGTGTGCTGTCTGCCAAAATGGAGGGGATCTCTTGTGCTGTGAAAAATGTCCAAAGGTCTTTCATCTAACTTGTCATGTTCCAACGCTTCTTAGCTTTCCAAGGTACTAGTGAAATAATTGATATTTTTGTTATTTATATAAACCGAAAAAATAAGTTATTCAGGGCAGATGGCCTTCTCAACCATTGCATACATAGTATTTCTATAAGACAAGAAGCTTATTATTCCTTTAGTATTACCTTCTAGAAAAACTAACAGCTGAATGATGAACTATCTGAGATCTAAGTGGTGCATTAATGATAAAAAATAGACCATTTTTTTGGCTTTCAATTTATAATTAATGTGAACGAATTAGATAGAACTCTAAATTTTGAGGGGCAGGGGTTCTGGGGTATTGGAGAAAGTTATTAGATTTCCTCTCTTTTTGTTGTTGTTGTTTTAATATTTAAATTTTTCTAAGTTTGAGCCAAACTAATGACATATGCCAGGGAACAAGATCTCAGTACTCCCTAGATTTCCTCTTGAAGCTGGATTTTTTATCTATTGCCATCAATTTTAATGGGGTTTACAATTATTTTATTTATGAATACTGTTCATTCAGTTTTATGGCAACTCTATTCAGTCTTACCCAAAACTTACTTTTTAATGTTTGAAAGCTCTCAAAAGGTATTTTAAAGAAAAACAAGTGCTTCGTAAAACCACCTTCAACGTCTTGAGTTGTTCAGAGGTCCCTTCCTAAGGGGAGCATTTGGTCGGTGGCGCCTGCCTGGAGCAAGTGTGCAGCTCTCTCACTTCTCCTTTGATCACCTAGTTGGAGTGTCTTTCAGTCATTAACTTTGGAATAGACAGTTACTGAATTCCTTCTTTAAAAATGAAGAACTTTGGAGGTAAAGATAAAGATTGGGAGAAAATAAGAGCATTGTCCTCATACTATTTGACTCCATGCTGGCTAAATCTTGTTTCAAGCATTAACATATTCATTGATGAGCACCCGAGGCAAGCTGGCCTACCAGCTCAGGCAGTGGAACAGATAGATGTGCTGGGCTGGGTTACACACCTGGAGTCTGGCTGTAGCTCTAAGCTTAGTAGCTCGGGGCAGTTCACTGATTTTCAGGGATTAGTGTCTACATTAGAGTTTGTTTTAGGACAGCTGTTTTTATTACTTCCATTTATTGTTTCATGTTCACACAACTTCATCCTCAGTTGATTTCAGAGACTGCAATAGTAGAGTCATGCTTCTTTCTTTCAGCCTTCTCCTTCCCCCAGCCCTTACAACCCAGATTTCTTTTTAAGTGAAAATAAGTGTTCTTAGGAAAACCTAGCTTATTTTCTGCCTATAGATAAATTTTTTACATTTCCTCTCAGATTTCTGAGAAGCAATTTCAGTTGAATAATGCTACTCTTTTTGAAAAAATTCAACCTTTTGGATTAGAAAAGTGGTGGATACATAAACAGTGCCAGAATATTTTTTTTCTGAAGAATTGTAATTACCTAAATCTTAGGACGCATAATTATTTGCCATAGATGCAATAAGTGGCTTCTTTTTCTTTATTCTCTCAGAAAAGGAAAGCATGGGCATATTGGTCTTGAAATTAAGGCTTTTCATATTTTCCTTTTCTTTGAATAGTAACATCTGCTAGAATGGTAGAGTTTTGCCACTGAATGCTTCCTCTCAAATGCAGATGCTTTAGAAGGAATAGGAACTGTTGACATACATTGGTATAATCCCTAGACTTAAAATTTATTTATATATGATGGGGGAGGAATGCATGCGAATGAATCATATTGGAGTTTATAGTTTGATAGAAATCTTGATGTAAACAAGTTATAGACTGAGCAGATTTAAATGATAAGGGGAGTGTGTGTACATGTGCTCGCACTCACAGGTATGTGTATCTGTGTCCTAGGCTCTTGACTGGCTATGAAAAAAGAACTTCTTTTGGGCATGTTTAATACATGCCAAAACAGTACGTGATAGCTGAGGAACTCTGTACCCTGTAGTCTTTTCTTGTTTGTGGTTATGGGGTCATCGTGATTACTGGGCTCTGGGGATGGGTCTTATGCTACAAGTAGTGATTGTGAGCTTTGTGCTATGAGGAACCCTTTTGAATGCCGACCTACTGTTTTGTTTGTTTGTTTGTTTGTTTGTTTTATTGCTTTCCAGAAGGCAGTTGAAGAATGGGAAAAGTTTTAGGACATTTTTATCACACAGCTTCACTTTATGAGATTTGACAAGAATAGAACTTCCCTTCCCCCCAAAAAAAACTGGAAAGGAAAGAAAATAAACAAATTGGAGACTTAACCTCTAGGGAATTAGCTTCCCTAGAATGGGTTTTGTTATAATTACATGGACTAATTGCCTGTTTCCCTCTTTAGTGGGGACTGGATATGCACATTTTGCAGAGATATTGGGAAACCAGAAGTTGAATATGATTGTGATAATTTGCAACATAGTAAGAAGGGGAAAACTGCACAGGGGTTAAGCCCCGTGGACCAAAGGGTGAGTGTCAGAGAAGTTGATATATTATTAGTTGTCTGGCTATACATATATTTGTTTAGTGTAATACACATGTAATCCCAAATTTTTTTCATTTTTTAACTTCACCACCTGACTTGTGAAATCTTTATCTCTAATCCTCAGCGGCAGACTCATATCCAGCTTTCTCATACTTATCATGTCCCAATCAAAATCTTGATTTCTAATCTTCTCCTTCAAAAAGCAAAAGCAATAAATAAGCAGGTAACAACATAAAAAACTGTACTTCTCTCCTAGTATTCTATCTCATTAAATGATACCACCATTTATCTCTGTTGCTCAAGCCAGAAATCTGTTAGAAATGAAAGCATCAGGAATAACAATAATACTGTTTTCTTCCTCTCACCATTATTTTCTGAGACTGACATCATAGTTTTGCATCTGCACTATTGTAATAATCTCTTCACTGGACTCCCTGATTCTACCCTTGCCTCCTTACAGTTTATTTCTGTACTGTTCGTAACATTCTTTTTAAAAACGTAAACAAATGTATCACATTCTTGCTTAAAACGCTCTACTAGCATCTCATTATTAAAAACGAAATCTAAAATCCTCTCCTCACTTCACTCAAATTTCTGCTGATGTGGTCTGTAGCCTGATCCCAAGACGCAGTATCTTTCACATAGTTCTATGGTCAGATACTGTTAAGTTTGGCTCTGATCTGATGTATAGACTTTCAAAATCCCTTCTCCACTATTAATGAAGACAAGGTATGTGTATAGAGTATACAAACAGTATTAAGAGAAGTTTAAGCAATTGAAAACTATAAATAAAATGTAAAATGCATTTCAATTTGTTCTGATTGTGTAAGAAAATTCTAGAATTGGATTGAGAAGACACATATAGTTTTTATTTAATTTTGAACCTGAGTGGAATCATTTCAAGAAAGGAAATAATAACATGTGTCCTGCCTGTCTCAGGGAATTAAAACAAGTAGCAAAGACGATAATTTATAGATACCGGGTAATCTATAAATTGTTGTGCAAAATGCTGTATATTGCTTTTCTTATTCCTTTCCATGTATATAGTTGAGGTAATAGTAGATAAATTACCCTAGTGATCAGACAAGAACAAAGGCACTCTATCTTTGGTAAATTCATTCAAAATAGAACAGAAGATAGTCTCAAAACTGAATGGGAAACAAGACGATTTTCTCTGAGTTGGATAGCTAGCATGTAGGAGGCTTGTGTTCAGTTTGTTGTAATAATACTTGACAGTGATAAAGTTCTTATTCTCAAGAGTATTTTTTAAGGCTAAAAAACTTATTAGAGGTTTTCCTTTCTTTTCTTGGGCCAGAAATGTGAACGTCTTCTGCTTTACCTCTACTGCCATGAATTAAGTATTGAGTTCCAGGAGCCAGTTCCTGCTTCGGTGAGTAATTTGCCTTAGCAGCCTCCCTGAGGAGCAGGACTGAGGCTCTGGCCGGAGACAGCTTCTCTTGAAACTCAGACTTCTTGAGTAATCTCAGCCTCTCCAAAGCTCAGATTTTCTTTCCTGATACTATTCCTTCCCTCATTGGGTTGTTCCGAGGACTATACACGATAACCTGTGTAAAATGCTTAGCACAGTACCTGATAATGTTGTAAATACTTCTTATTATTCAGAAATTTTATTAGGGCTAAGTGAATGTGCGATTCACTTGTTAAAATTGCGGTTTATTTTTTAAATATTTTGTTGCTGTGATGAAAATTTGGTCTCTGTGTCCTTTTACTTTTAAGATGGATGTAAGGGATACAAGTATAATGGAAATAATCTGGAACCCAGGAGTCTGAAGACAACTTTTTCTCTTAGTTCTGCCATTAACCAGCCATATAAGTTTGAGGAAATTACGTAATTTTCTGCCTTTACTTTTTTAACTGTACAGTGGGAATATTGGACTGAATTATTTTTAAGATTCTAATTCTGTGATTATAGGCTCTATACCTTAGGGAGAAGACAAAGTATGTAATTTGAATAAAAGTATAAAATTAAATCTTTCACACTGGCTCTGCCTTCATAATCCATCTATCATAAACAGTCAAGATTAAGAAAAGACTGGAGAAATTTTGCAATTCAGTGCTCTTTGTTTCTCTTAAAGGGGACTTTTGTAAGGAATAGAAGCTCTCAAGTCCTATAGTAAAAAGAATACAAGAGGTGCTCAGTGTGCCATAAATGGGATGAGAACATGCTACACACATTTTATTTGCTAGCCATCAGTTGTTGAATTAAGATATTATTGAATACCAGGCCTGTTGAACAATGTTGAATAATAGGCTTATTTACTGCATAGGCTCAGAAATGAATTTTAAAGCACAAAAGGTCTAGACACAAGGAAGATTTTTGTGCAAATAGTAATTATCTGATACTGAGATACGCATCTTTAAGTTTAGGGACTTTACAATAGAAAATGACTTTCAAATATTTTTTGTGAACTATTTAAATAGCTCTCTATTGTTCAGTTATTTCCCAAGGATACAAATATTTGGCCAAGAGTTGGGGCAGAACTTCCCAGCATGATCATTAAATGGTTAATATAATTTTTTTTCTTTTGTTTTTACAATCTTTCTCTATTGCTTTGTCCAGAGTACTTGGTGATATTGTTATATCCTCTAAAAGATAACATATTCTAATAATAACAATACATTTTATATTCACTTTTTTCCATACCTTTTTCTCCTCACAAATCCCACAATTCTGATGAGCACATGTGGTTGACTATCCTTGCTCATTGCCTTCTTTCCAAATCTACACACTGAAGATAGAACTTTGGGGCCTTTACTAACGTGGAAACTGCCACATATTCTGAATATGATTTGATTTTCATGATATGATTGAGGCAGAAGATTTAAAGTACATTTACTATATTTAAAATTAACAAGCAGCTGGCTCAATAATCAACACTAAAATGCTATGCATTGTCAAATAAAACAGTTCGGTGTTTTGGAGAATCCTTATCTAGCCTTATTTGTTTCTTTAGATACCAAACTACTATAAAATTATAAAGAAACCAATGGATTTATCCACCGTGAAAAAGAAGCTTCAGAAAAAACATTCCCAACACTACCAAGTCCCAGATGACTTTGTGGCTGATGTCCGTTTGATCTTCAAGAACTGTGAAAGGTTTAATGAAGTATGTTAGCTTCTAAACTATAGAGTCTTGGATTACTAGTTTTTGTTTGTTCGTTTGTTTTATTTTTGGATTTTGCTTTTTCCTGCCAAGAGATTTTTCTAATTTGATTTAAAATTTTATTTCTGCTTCAGTTCTGTCAAAAGTAAAATTCGCATCCGCAGCTCCAAAGAAGAAAGTTTACTGTGTATAACTTGAAGTATATACTTAAACATAATAAATTAAGAATATTATTGAATATCCCTTCCTGAACGAGTTGAGGATTGAGATTAGAAAGTAGCCTGTAGTTAAGTATATTCTGTGGGAATTGATTATAAATAGCCTACATTTGGGCACATGTAGAAAAGGTGTTTGTACTAGTGTTCTTTGATTTTATTATTGACCAAATAAATGTAGAGCCTTAAAATTATAAACTAATCTCTGGTGGCTTACTTTGAATAGTAGCCCGGAGTGTATAATGTTGTTTTCTGATCACAACAATGTAACTTACATTAGCTTTGGTTATGTATTTTTCTGAGGATAAAGATGAGCTATCCATACCTTGAAAAGAAATCTGATATATACTTCCTTCAAGGAAATCATTTTGGTTATCTTGGAATAAGTCAAGTCTCAAAAGAAGGTTTGTTAAGAGAGATTTTCATTATACTAGGAAAAGAAAATGGAATTGGATGAGAATCCACAAAATCTTTAAAAAGATTACTTCAATACTAAAACCTCTTTATTGCTGATGAAATTTGGGTGCCATATGACCGTTACTAAAATAAATCACATTGAATCATTTAAAGTGTACTCATAGCTGCCTCTGGAAGTATCTAGGTGATTTAAAAAAAAAAAAAACTTTAATTAGCTGAAAAGTCTAGTCACCTTTATAGCAATATGCTACAGAGAACAGAGTATAACTTCACTTGAGGTTAAATTAATATAGCCCCAAGTATTTTGTCTTATTTTCTAATCCACTTAGAAATTTTCAAATGAATATGCTTTCCTGAACTATAGCTAACATTTGCCAGGAAGACCATTTTAATCTGCTTTAGTAATAGTTGAATGATTTATACTTAACAAATTGCCATACAAATGGAATTCTGATTAAGTGGTTTGTTGAAAGTTCGGCAGATTTTTAAAAGCAACATTTCTTATATTATTTGTTTCACAAATATTATTCTCTTAGATAGATGTATTCAGACTGGTTTCTATTCAGTTTGACCTCACTAATTCAGAATTTGAAACAGTTATTGAGGTTTCACAGAAGCTTTAGTAACAGAACTTTGTAAAAAGAAAAAAAAAATGGTTCCATGTTCTGTAGAATTTTAGAAAGCACTTATAATCTGGTTATAGCAATTTGTTCCCCCTACTGTGGCTGACTTTCGTTGCCAATCCTATGCAGTCTCATAACTTTAGAAAGGATTATAATTTCCCTTTTTTTTTTTTTGACTCTGGTATCCTTTTTAGATGATGAGAGTTGTTCAAGTTTATGCAGAAACACAAGAGATTAATTTGAAGGTAAGCTTTTCAGACCATGCAAACTTGGTGAAGGAATATGCATTACCAATAGGTGAATATTCCTATCTTTTGCTTGCAGGCTGATTCAGAAGTAGCTCAGGCAGGGAAAGCAGTTGCATTGTACTTTGAAGATAAACTCACAGAGATCTACTCAGACAGGACCTTCGCACCTTTGCCAGAGTTTGAGCAGGAAGAGGATGATGGTGAGGTAACTGAGGACTCTGATGAAGACTTTATACAGCCCCGCAGAAAACGCCTAAAGTCAGATGAGAGACCAGTACATATAAAGTAAAATGACATGAACTTAAATGAATTGTTTAAAAAAAGAGAGAGAGAGAGAAGAAAATACACTTTTATTTAAGTGTCGCTGGTATATCCTGCCTACAGTGGGCACCTCCTTGAAGAAGCTGATAGCTTTTACACAGTATTAGAAGAGATTAATTTGAAGGTAAGCTTTTCAGACCATGCAAACTTGGTGAAGGAATATGCATTACCAATAGGTGAATATTCCTATCTTTTGCTTGCAGGCTGATTCAGAAGTAGCTCAGGCAGGGAAAGCAGTTGCATTGTACTTTGAAGATAAACTCACAGAGATCTACTCAGACAGGACCTTCGCACCTTTGCCAGAGTTTGAGCAGGAAGAGGATGATGGTGAGGTAACTGAGGACTCTGATGAAGACTTTATACAGCCCCGCAGAAAACGCCTAAAGTCAGATGAGAGACCAGTACATATAAAGTAAAATGACATGAACTTAAATGAATTGTTTAAAAAAAGAGAGAGAGAGAGAAGAAAATACACTTTTATTTAAGTGTCGCTGGTATATCCTGCCTACAGTGGGCACCTCCTTGAAGAAGCTGATAGCTTTTACACAGTATTAGATTAAAATAATGGACAGAAAACACATTCTTGTCAAGAAAGGGGGAGAGAACTCTTATTTGCAACTTTAAAAATAAAAAGCAAAATTGAAATGATTTGAAGATTTTTGTTACTAAAGAGGATAGTGCTGATTGTTAGAAATGGTTGATTATGTGGTGTTGATTGGTGCAGGATGCTGGGTATACAAGTAAATACTGAAAGGTCATTCTTTTGCTAAATTGTCTCTGGACTAGAGCGCACAGTTATTAAAACGACTTTTATGCCTCCCCCTCACACACGTACATACTGGCTGTTTTCTTGTTAAAATCAAAGCTGCTGAGATTCCACTCGGACGTCAGTGCAGGTGCGCATTGATCATATCCTTATCTTTTTTCTCATTTTGATGCTGTTGGGCCTTAGTTTTTATATTGATTTGGAGAACTCAACAGTAGTTTTATTTTCTGTTCTTACTTGGTGTCTAGGAAATGTGACCATTGATCATCATTTAATCAACTTTAATGATCTACAGAAAGAAGTAAATATGGTAACTTTCCAGTAGCAGATCACATAGTAGTCATTTCTAGAAAACCCTTCCACGGAATTGCACCTCCCAATCAAATCATCAGATCGTACAGTTATTCCCATGAAAGGCAGAATGTTTGTTTCAAAATTAACCTAGTTTTCTGTACATTTAAATTTAAGAAGATGACAACTGGCTCTTATCCAGTCTTCCTTCGTGTCAGTTTTCTGATAGACCACTATTGGCAAACAGTAATCTGTCAACTACCAAATGTGTAAAATTTTCTGTATTTCACTTTGTCTTATTTGTAAATAGTGAACTAAAACTTCTGGCAGATCAGCAACATTTGCTGAGCCTGTTTTTTAAGCTAATGTGTATTCTTACTAATAATGTTCCTATCAAGAATGGATTTGTAATATATGCTGTCTATTTCTAATGTTCACATTCATATTTTGAGGTTCTATCTTATTTTAATAGAGAACAGACTTCTCAGAAAATCTTCAGAAGCAGCTTATTATTAAAATATCAAAATATTGAAATAAACCCGGTGGGGTTAGAGTACTCATCCGTCCACCAAGTGGGACATTTGCACGGACTGGGGGCTTAAAGGACTTAAAAGAGACCTGTAAGTAAATCCTGAAAATGAGCCAATCCCCACTTGAATGGTTACTGGAGTAAGCCCACCTTTACTACCCCGTTTTCCGCACCTGAAGCAGATAAACCACCTTGGCTCTATTTCATTTTTCTTCTCTTCATTTGTGATGCTTATATTCAAGATGTGTGTTCTAGACTGTGTACAGGCTTCTCTTTTGTTGAATTAAAAATTTTAGTCCTACTTTCCTATGGACACGTTAGATTATAAAGTGACCAAAATAGAAGATTCACCATTAGATATTTTTCAGACGTCAGCAGATTTGTGGCAAATCGTTTGCCTTTTAAAAATTTCAGCTTAAGCAATTCAGACAGTAGACTACTCAGAAAAAATTATTTGACATAATTGTCTTAAGAGGTAAATATTTTTAGTGCATATTAAATAAAGTGCTCTAAAGAAATTATTATGCAAATTCCTTTGGGTTTTTTCCTTAACACGTGATGGGGTGAACATGAATATGATTCAGGCCTTCGGATGGTATATTTAAAGAGTATTGATTTTGTTATTGCTATTGATTTACTTCATTCTGTATCTTAAGTGTCTCTTGCAGTTTTGTTGTAAGTTAAACTTAAAAACATATAACAAACTGTTATTTTACTCAAATTTCAAATACTTAAGAAGAGTTTTCTTACAAGAGGGAGAAAACTGTTTAAAAATGCTTTCTTCTGTGCTCATTTCCCTCTTTCCTACAACTTTCATGATTTCTTTTTATCAGGAGATGTGTCTAAAGGCATAGCGATGAGTGGCAGTACTGCTTCATTATGTCAGGCTATCGAGTTCTAATATTTTATGCTTACTCTCCAAATGAAACCTTTCATGATTCTTAGATAAGTCATATATATGTTCTACCAATGGGGGCAGAATTTTCAGTAAATATTTCTCGGTATCTGGGGCCTTAAAAGATAATGCATTCTCTTAAAAACATTCCCATGTTAGATGGGTTTTTGGAAGGTTTTTTTCCTTTGTTTTAATAAGGTTGGTTCTTAAAAAGCCACTTTATTGTCAACATTGAATAGGCTCCATTTCTGTTAACAAGATAATTTATACTGCTGAGGAATTACTAGCTATCAACAAACCACACTTATATGAAGATGTTCACTTTAGATTTCATTTCAAGGTTTTTTCTTGCACATTGATCACTTTTTAAGCTGATCTCTTGGGCACTAATATAACTGTTAAAAAGTATGAAAACTTTAAATTGATATTCCAATATCTTACATGTTTTTCTAGTTATGTTTTAAAAAGACAGACATTGAGTATCAATTCCTGAAGGCAGTTTGTATTGATATTCTCTCACATTTGTATTCTTGGTTAAAAGGCAGTGTTTTAGATTTGGAGATGTTAATGTTTCCTTAAAAGCTTGCAAAGTTTTCACCACATTTCAATTTCTATCTCCCATCAGAACGCAAAGAACAAAGTGGTCTTCTGTCTGTTCCATTGGCCTAAATTTGTATTTTTTAGCACTTTGCTGAGCTGATTCACTGAGTAAAGACATTGCTTTACAAGGTGAAGCATGTGCATGTTCCAAAGTACGTTTAGATTATAGGTCATGGGTTATGCAGAAACAGCAAATCATTGCTACAGAGAAGTGATAAGGCATTGGACCCACTGTTGAAATGATCCTTTTTGGAATCGACAAGGTACTTTCTGACTTCTATTTCTCATATAAAGGGAATTTTAAAGTCAGTTCTTACTTTTTGTTGTAACAGTTTTTAAACTTTTTAGTTAATCCAAAGAAATAATGTTTTTAAATAGAGGCAAAAGGTTTATAGCGTGCAAATTGTAGATCTGTCAATTACCTCAGCAGGTATCCTGCCATGTAATTATTAGTGATTAGTGTTAACAAGTCAATAGATTTAGGTCTTTTGACGGTGCCCTTGGATTGTGGCGTGCCACATGTTATTAAACAGTCTCTTAGTGTCCAAAATGGGAATAGATGCTGTGGCCCCCTCTCCCGTGCCCTTTTAAGTCCCTTACCTACTCCCACTGCTTGTTGCATAATCTGCATTGGGTAAAATCAACGTGTTCTAACTCTACTTATTTAAAACAATCAAGTTCTTAATTTGTACTCTGAATTCGTGATTCGTACTATGAATTTGTAATTCGCACCGTCTGTATTAGTAACCTGCTCAAGGTCGTCCCAGGTTCTCAGGCCGCACCACAGTTTGACGGTCCCGGACCTAGCTGTTTTCTTTCGTTCTCTCAGTTATCTCCTCCTCGATAAAGCAATAACACTGCTTTACGTCTGTTGCCTAAGCATGTCATAATCCTCTCCTGGATGGTGATTTTATAGGGAAGTTTGTATGCATATCACCCAGTCTATCTTTTAAAAATTAAGAAAAATAAATGTGTGCTGGAGCTAATGACAATATATTGTGGCATTTTATTTTAAAAATTGGGGAAAGTTGCATATTTTTTTAAAAGTAGGTGTTTGAGTAAAAAAAATTGAAGGTACTTTTTTAAGAAAAAAATTTATATGCCACAGTTTACATAGACATTTCAAGGTTTCAACATGTACTCTGGGATATAATAGATTCTTTTACTTGGTCAGAATGCATGTATAACATTTCTTCCATCTTAGTTTCTTGTGTTTGCCTTCGTGGTCTTTTATATTTTTTATTGTATCTGAGAAACAATTATCTTCAAAAATAAATCAATTTGGATATATTTGTCAAACTACAAAATGTACAAAATTAAGTTTAGCCCTTTTCTAGCAAGTGGTCTTTAAAAATGCCGTTCTCTTAAATTCACCAAATTTGTATGTGGGAGGGCACTGAAATGATTTTCTAAGTGCCACTGCAATATTCCCTTTCAAGTGTGGCCTAAATTTCAGTCTTAAGAATGAAACGCATGTCTGCTCCTGGTCTGAAAAATGTAGGCATTTACTATGTTTTAAGTCACAGTGAAACATGTATATAAGCCTATGAAACAAGATTTGTGCAATCAGAAAGCCTGTTAATTTTCTATGTAGACGTACTGACACACGAAAGGGTTAAATTCACAGCCTTACTAGTTCCTTGCTTCCAGTATTTCAACTGGTCTCCCCTCATTGTTGTTATTATTATTATTACTATTACTACAACTACTATTATTTTTGCACATGGTTAACTACCCTTCAATATGATTCTTAAAAAGTGCTGTTTCTGTGCTATTGTATCTTCTAAATAATCATATTTAATTTTTTAAAACAAAGTTGCGGTTTCTAATTGTTCCGTTCCTGTGTTTTTTGCTGGTGTGTAATAAACGCAAGTTTTTTTCCCATGGTTATTTAATACATTAGCTGCCTGTAAATATTTCCTGTTACAATGCTCTGGAATGTGTTGTAGAAGTTGTACTAGATTAGTTTAAAGCCTTGTTTGAAAGCCACATTGTTTTGGTTATTTCTATTAAATTAGAAAA